AATTTGACCAACCATAGTGCAGGAAAAACCATGGTGAAGAAGCTGAAAAGTTCTGGTATCCCAAAGTGTGAAATATAGAATATTACACGGTCACATACCTACCAAACGGGCTGACGATTATGACTCAGGAGGAGAACGAGAGCAGCAGATCATTTCACGAGCCATTGACAACACTGGTCCTGTTCCTCCAAGAACTGCTTAAAGTCAGCTTTACGCAGCAAATTCACTGCAGTCACTGCTGTCACTGCAGCGTCACCTTGAAGCTGAGAATGATGCCGTTCAGAAGAGCATAAGTGATCTAAGGCGAGGATACAAGCGTGTCTTCATCGAAGAATCAGATTCTGCGTGATCTGAAAGCGTTTTGAACGTTTTAAATTTGTTTGAAGATGCACTTACTTTATATTTTCAAAGTTGAAAGTCTGGTTGTCCATGTCCTGGTATCTTTGTGCAAAAAGAAAATTTCATTTGGCTCAGTCGTGCGTTTGTTACTCAGGAGCGCATTCAGAAATTCAGTAATTTTTCCCTCTATTTCATTAACAAGTAATAGCGATGGGTCCACGTAAAATTAAGGATTAATATAGCTTGTGTTTTCAGAAGTTGCTGAAATTGAAAACACGCGTGATATTTATCCTTAATTTTACTCGGCCCCATTCGATTACCTATAGAAATATTCAGTTTTCTAGTCCAGTCCGCGTTCGTAGATTCACGATCACTTCATCTTTTTCACGGCGACATAAACTTTAGTTTCTTAAAGAGGTTTTATACAGAATATCGCAAATGTCCTACACACTCGATGAAAGAAGTATTTTGCGTAGTATTTTGGCGTTTTGCGATCATTTCTCCAGTTCCAAGCAGACTTCCCGCACGCTTCTAGCATTTGAGCCAGGATTTGATAGAAACGAGCCGTGCAAACGAATGTCCACGTACGAACATGGCTATCTTCTTCTTCACCTAATACTCTACAGCTTCTTGCCAATATGGTATTTATATCGACGGATTTAAAGTCTCTATAATCGTTAAAAGGTCATGCTGGTTTCCGTTGAAGTCTCTTGCAAACTTCTCTGGGTCTGAAGTCCGAACCCTTGATCGGGATGTGAGCAAA